TGGCTATTTCTCTCCGCCATAATGATAGCCAAGTATTCATCAATGTACGGTTGCATTAGTTGTGTACTCTGCAAGACACTGTAATGCGTTTGACTCACCTCTTTGTAATCATGGTCGATGAACACTTTTCTACCACTGGTGCCCTTCCCAGCCAGCCTACCCTTGTAACGAGAATCAGGTTTACCAATCCCTTTCTTTACTTTTAGGTACTCTTGACAGCACTCGACGACTTCTTCAGTACTGTAACCCTCTATCATGGAGCCCTCTAGGTATGCTCAATTATGCACGTATCGACTTAGAACCGACATGAACCGCTCGTAGGACCACATTTCATGCAAGTAGCAAGGGCCTAGCGCCTATATCTGATGAACCATATGAATCATGAGATGTGGCATTATATCAAAAAAAGTAGGAGGTAAACACATCTCCAATTGGTTTTGTGTCTCCACCACAAATTCATGTAGGTCACTCAACTCTTGCTTGCCAATCGTCTTCTGTGAGATTTTCGAAAAGAAGTAGCATATGCGGGTGATGGCCATTTTCAAGAACTCTGGCTTTATAGCCCTTATTGCAATAGGTAGAAACGCTATCAGCATCACATGCCAATCGTGAGCCTTGCAATGTGTTATTGACAAGTCCTTCATCGACACTAGCTTCTTCACATTTGCTGAAAACCCAGTTGGGACTTTGATCCCCCTTAGGAAAGTGCATATAGCTCTCTTCTCGTCTGAGGTTAGGTTGAAGCATGCCGCGGGTAGAGTGTATTTTCCATTAGCCTCAGGTACCGGGTGAAACTGTGGCATCACGTTTAGTTGCACCATGTCTTTCCATGCTTTCACACCATCCTTTGACTTGCCTGTGTCCATCAAGGTAGCAATGAGACTCTCAAAGACATTCTTCTGCACGTGCATAGCATCAATGGCATGGGGGACCTCCAAGTCTGGCCAATAAGGCAGATACTAAAAGAAGATCAATTGTTTCTTGAAAGGTACTCTTTCGACAGGAGGTGTCCTTCTATCTCTGTTCGCCCCATCCGAATTCTTCTTTCCATAGACGACGCGTATGTTTTTCACCATTCTGTACACGTGTTCTCCGTTATGACGTCTCTCCGGAGGGGGTTCAATCTCCAGGGCGTTGTTATAAAATCTAAAGAACAATTTCCTGCAGTACTTGTGACTTGTCTTTAAGAAGCGTCGGTTCCTTAGGTAAACTATCTTCTTGGATGCATCCAGGTACACCCATGTAGTACCATCCAAGCAAACCAAGCATCCCGTCTTTCCTTTGATCTGTCCAGACAAAGCAAACAGCGCGGGGTAATCATTGGTAGTAACAAATATTATTGCCCTACATATGAAGTCCTCCTTTTGGAACACATCGTACATCTGCTCCCCGTGCCTCCATAGCCTCTCCATTTCTTGCATCAAAGGCTCGAGGAACACGTTTATATCAATGCCTGGTTGTTTAGGGCCAGAAATAAGAATAGTGAGAAGGTACTTTCTCTTCTGACACAACCATGTTGGGATGTTGTACATGGTCAAGATCACTGGCCATGTGCTGTGGTCGCTCATCCTCTCATTGAAGGGATTCATTCCATCGGTGCTCAAGCTAAACCGTACATTCCTTGGGTCATCGCTAAATTCTTTGTGCTTCTCATCAAACCTTTGCCACTGACTACAATTAGCCGGGTGTGCAATCTTATCATCATCCACCTTGCACTCATCATCCCACCATGTCATGAGTGTAGCTTCTTTAGGGTTTAGGAAGATACGTCTCAAGCGGTCGGTCACTGGTAGGTACCACATTACCAAGGCAGGAATTCTTCTCTGCTTTGCATCGCTGCCTAATGGAGTGTCCTCTGGGGGCTGAGATTCTTGTACCACCTTTTTGTACCCTTCTTATTCCTCTTTTTCCCCGTGGAGGCTTCGTCCCCACCGTAAAGGTCATTGTTCTTGTATCGGCTGGCCCCACACCGGGGACATTTATCCAGTGACTTGAACGTTTCGCCACGAAAAAGTATACAGTGGTTGGGCCAGTCATGGATTTTTTCAACCCCCATTGTCAATGGACTTATGACCTTCTTCGCTTGGTATGTGTTGGCGGGAACTGAGTTTGGTTGTGGCAGCACCCATGTCAGGAGATGCAATAGATCATTGAAACTACAATCTGACCAGCCGTACTTAGCCTTCAGGATGAGCAGCTCAAGCACAAAATGTAGCAATGTCCAATGTGTCGGACAACCCTTTTCAACACCATACACAGTCTCCTTCGATGCTTTTGTCACCCTTTTCCAAATTTTCTAGACCTTTCGGGCTATTTAGTAAAATCTCTGGTCCAAGGGCTCGAATCATGTCCTCCAAATCATCTTCATCCCCGACACGTGCTCCACCATCATTATTGACACCACCTTCGTCGTTACCATCCCAACCACCAGCATCACCACCTTGTTTATTGCCAAACTTGAAATCCATTCGTGCATCAAGCTCTGCCGAATATTGGGACAGGGATTCTATGGTTTCGTCGTCATATTCATCCTCATCCTCGTCGTTAACAATAACCGTTTCACCATAATGAATCCACACTGTGTAGTCCTCAACAAATCCTCGCATAATCAAATGTGATCTGATGATAGTCACATCTGTCCATGCCATACGGTTCTTGCAATCTTTACATCGGCAAATAATTGTATCCTTATTCTCTTTCAATGTCGTTGCATGCTTCTTTGGGGCTTCAATAAATTTATCCGCCTCTTCACGGAAACCTACCTTGAACCTTAATGAACCATACATCCAAGAGTTCTTGTACTCCATCTTTTACAACAACAACAAAACAAACATTAAAGGACTACTTATTCAGATATATATAAAAATGAAACAAATTAATAATTACTTGAGAATAATTGTATATACTTCAAATATATATGAATATAAATCTAATATAATTACATGAAGCATACAAACACACCATTGTAAAGGAAAATTAATTAATGGCCCATTTATCCATAAATAATTATAATACATATTTATTGATTACAATAAACAATTTCAAAGACAACAATTAGCAACAATTATACTTTACCCAATATCTTTCATACAAACCCTAGTCCAATTTCATCAAACATAAATTTACAAAAACAAAATTAATAAAAAAATAAAACCCTAGATCTAGATCCACATGCACATAAAACATCTATAAAACTAAGTAATTGTTCACTAAAATCAAGAAACATGGACTAAATAAGGGTATGATCTTGTTTTCCTCCCTAATTTACCCTAGTATATTTAAAACTTGGGTCTAATTTGCTTCATAAGTAGCTCAAGCACCATAGAAGAGAGAGAAAAATAAAACTCTAATTACTCACTAACCAACCATTAAAACTTCAAATAAAAGTGTGGAATAACATTTTCTTACCTTCTACAACCTCTCCACCAAAGGATTTGAGACTAAAACCTTCCCTCCTTAGTAAAGCAATTTTTGGGAGGTGCCCAAGGCCTCCCACCTTTCTTTCACGGGTTGGAGTGAGTGACCCGAGGAGGAAGAAGGTTCTGTAGATGTTATATATGCGGGTCATTTATAGGAGCGACTGGTGATTGAGCCACCCCTACAAATCGGAGCTATATATACGAGGACATTTGTAGGGGCGGCTCAATCACCAGCCGCCCCTACCAATAGCAACTCCAAGGGCGGCTGGTGATTGAGCCGCCCCTACAAATCAGACCATATTTGTAGGGGCGGCTCGTATCACCAGCCACCCCTGCTGTTCCATTGGTAAGGGCGGCTGGTGTCTGGGCACCCGAGCACGCCACTATAGGGGTGGCTCTATCACCCGCCGCCCCTAAAAAAATCGAACCGTTACTAAAAGTCGTTTTTTACGTAGTGGATATATAGTCCTCATCCAATTCTTTTTCCTTCAACAAACCTGTACACATGCGTGTGTGTATATAGACATATGAGAGCTTGACTAATTTTAATTGGTTGTTGGGAAGACAAAATAAAAAAAGGTTATGCCCTGTTCGCTTGGATGATAAGGTATGGCTGAAAGTATTGTTGACTGATTTACTGTGAGAGAAAAATACTGACTTATAAGCGAAGCAAACAGGCGTTAGTCGTTGTCGCTGCAAGTTGAACAGTTGTTGTTGGCTGGCCGCACCATACCAAGGTTTTTTTTATCGGCCGAAATTCACGGAAATTTTCGAAATTTCCTTTCTATCCACAGGGTCCGATAAAATTTGACATCGGCCAAAATTTTCCCTTCTTTCCTGATTCCACACAGACAACCCAAATTCAGTCGTGCGACAATCCCACACTATAATGTTTTATTCTTGTTTTTATCTGTGAACGAGTGATGTTTAATAGCTTAGGAATAGTTTCAAGTCAAATTCTACGGAATTTTTTCAAAATAATTTGATTTTTCTTTGAATTTGGTCCGATATTTTCGATATATCTTGCTTATCCTATTTATGCCTGACCTCCGATAAATTTTTATTTTCGATAATGAAAACCTTGCACCATACACCTACCACTCCCGTAGTCCCGTCCCGTCTGGCCTCTCCCGGTCCTATCCCTAGCGCTAGGGGAGTTCGTTGTCAATCGATCGATGGAATTATTAGGTCCCAGCCACCACCTCCCTTGCTCGTTTCCCTGCCTCTCCTCCTACCTAACCTGTCTCATCCTTGCAACTGGCTCAACTTGCAACAACAACGCACATATATACACGAGCACGTACTAGTAGCTCCATCCCACACTCTTTTTATTGCATCCCCTCTCTTCCTTCCTGCACTTACCCTACCCAGCTACCTCTCCTCTCCTCGGAGCAGCAGCTAGCAGCGTCACCACAAGAGCTCAACTCTTCTTCTTCCTTGCTGTGTTCTTCTACTTCTATCTATCTACCTCAGTTCCTCACTCGCATCCCTGCTTGCCGTACGTCGTCCTCGCTCCACACCAAGCGAAGAGTAAGTACATCGTCGAACGTCTTTCCATTATTCCCGTTCTTGTTTCATCGTATGGCGAGACATCGTGTGACCAAGAGCAACGTTCGTACGTGGCTTACATGCGCAGTGGGCTCGGAGACGGAGACGGTCACCTTTGAAGGCATCCCATTCCCGGCGGAGATCACCGCCGGCGGCAAGCCTCTCTCCCTCCTAGCCAACGGCATCACTGACATCGAGATCCACTTCCTGCAGATCAAGTACAACGCGATCGGAGTCTACCTCCACACCACCGACACCACCCTCCTAGGCCACCTCGGCGCGTGGAAGGGCAAGACGGCGGAGGAGCTCCTGGCCGACGCCGCCGTCTGGTCCGCCCTCGTCTCGTCCCCCGTCGAGAAGCTGCTCCGCGTGGTGGTCATCAAGGAGATCAAGGGCTCGCAGTACGGCGTGCAGCTGGAGAGCTCCGTCCGGGACCGCCTCGCCGCCGCCGACCTCTACGAGGACGAGGAAGAGGAGGCGCTCGAGAAGGTGGCCGAGTTCTTCCAGTCCAAGTATTTGAAGCCGGGCTCCGTCATCACGTTCCATTTTCCCGCAACTCCGGGGCCCGCCGAGATCACCTTCGTCACGGAGGGCAAGGGCGACGCCAGGATCACGGTGGAGAACGAGCACGTCGCCGGCATGATCCAGAAGTGGTACCTCGGCGGCGAGAACGCCGTGTCTCCCACCACCGTCCGCAGCCTCGCCGACCGTTTCGCCGCGCTGCTCGCCGTCGCTGCGTGATGATATGATGCTCTGCCTTTTCCGATCCGGCCGGCTGATGGAAGTGCAGTGCGTTGAGTTCTTGAATGTTCGTCTTGTAGTACGTGGTGTCTCGTGTGTCGTTTGCAGCAAATTTGCAAGTAATAATTTAATAACTAAGACTGGTTTTTGAACGAGATCTCAAATCCTTGGATGCTCTATACATCTGAATAAACGCTCTTCATTATATTGCCTCTATATGCAATGTTAGCTTTCTTCTGTAAATATAGTCTTCAGGCATCAAATAAACAAGTTTAGAATTTAATCTATCCGTCCTCTCAAGAGTACGGCAATAGGCTACAGCACAAGACATGAGCAAATCTGGTCCAACCCAGGCCAAGCCCACTCCATGGCTGTAATAGGGCCAGGCTTGGACATTGGTAAGCCAAGCCCAAGTCCTTTTGCAATAATAGAGAAAGAGCGGGCACCCCAACCAAAACTAGGCCTGGCTCGAAAAGGTAGGCCCAAAGTTGGGCAATGGGTAATGTCCAGCATTGACTTTTGTCGGCTCGGCCCAGCGTGCAAAATGATTAAATCTATTTACAGTTTCTAGCCCAAAGCATGGTGAAAGCATATCGCTCAAAGATAACATTGGATGGTTTGATAAGGGTCATTTTGCAAAAAATTCCAATTGTTTGTAAGAATGCCACTGGAATTTCAGTTCTGATTATGTCTTTGTAATAATTTCCTAAAAGCAAACAGATTATTGCAATGATGGTTATTGAAAGCGGTAGCAAATTTTGCAAGAACTCCCTTTAACAAAGAGTCAAGGATGGGAAATATACATTGCAATTCCTATGAAAGCAACGCAATCAAACATAGGTGATGGATTGTACGGTGTTATTTTTTTTTCATTCCCCGACTGTAAAACCGTCAATGGAGTCGTTATCTACCATGTGTGAAACGCGTAGATATGGTGGCGTAATTAAAAAAAACTTTTCCAACATACCGCACAATGTGGACTGCAAATGCAAGGGATGATGAAGTGTAGTCGAGCTATGTCTTTTCATGTGGATCTGCCATTGCTATATCATCTCTAGTGGATCAATAATTCAATAGTATTTTTTTTTTTTTACCATGGACCAAATGAATCTAGTAGTAGGCAGAATTTAGGCTATCCTCCTCTTACTAAATTGAACCGGAAAAATTCTAAAAGGATATTCCTATTTCACACGTGCCTCTACTGCCTCCATCCCAAAATAACAGCACATCTCTAGTGACGCCGGCGGACACAGAGAAGGCCGGCTGCTGCAGTCCCTGGCGTATGGGCCGATGCCGAAGATGGAGGCCGCGGACGCGGGAGCGGCAGGGATGGGATGCCGCGGGTCACATGGGCACGACGGGGATGGGACCTCGTGGGCACAGCCAAGGGGCGAACGATAACGGGCACGGTGGATCAGGTGGGATGGGGCGTGGGCGCAGGAGCTGTGTCTGGACGTGGACTTCCGTTCAGACGTTCGGACGCTAGCTGCTCCGATGTATTTTGTGGATACTATGTATGTTCTATAATGAGTAACTTACTATGTGCGGTAAGTGTAACTTACTTCTTCAGTACTCCATTACATGGCTGTCAAAGGCATTACTTAACATTTCCATATGCAAAACACACAGTGCCCCAAGCAGAAGCCTAGGAGTGTACATTATGGATACTATGTATGTTCTATGATGAGTAACACCGGTGCCTAGAGGAGACACTCCTTAAGGGTAAGTTTGTACCTCTTCACCCGTAGTATAAAAACTTCGTACATGGTATGAAATACTAAACCAAAACTTGTTCTCTTGTAGTGGAAAGAAGAGAAAGAAATGAAAAGAGACCCATACAAGGATGACCAACTCTTAGAGCTCGTCGGCGACCTTTGCAACTTCATATTGGACCAGATTGTACACGTCAAAGGCACCTACCATGATCGAGAGTCTAACTTAGGTAGAAATCCTCAGTACCAACACCTTCGTGAGACTGAAAGGCTAGCTCTAGGCCGTTGATAACAATATGTATGGATTTTGATATTGGTTTTACCTTGTGAATTATGTCTATTTAATGATGGATTGCATATATTCTTATGAATTGGACTTGTAATTGTAGTTTATATAATACTCTTGAGCGAACGTTGGTCGCGGGGCATTCGGTGGGATTATCTCGCTTTCCTCGCCCACTCGCAACGCGAACACGGAAACAAACAGGGCCATATGTATGTTCTGGTCGAATTTGAATTTTTTTTTTGGCAGGAAAATGTACTGTAAGGGCGGTTCTAGACTAAACCGCCCCTACAAACAGGTATTATAGGTGCGGCTGGTACTACAGCTGGCTCTACAAATCGATTTGTAGGGGCGGCTGATAACACCAGCTGCCTCTACAAATCGATTTATAGGGGTGGTCTGGGAACCGCCCCTATAAATACATGATTTGTAGAGACGGTTTGGTAGCAGCGGCTGGCCAAACCGTCCCTACAAATGGTTTTGAGCCGCCCCTACAAACCCTGTGTGACGTAGTGAGTTGGTTATAACCATCCTTAAAAATCTGATCCGACCGTTGCTAAAAATATACTATCATAATGGCATAAGAGCATCTCCAAGAGTGTTGGGATCCAACTTGCTATTTCTATTTTTAGCTAACATGCAAGAAATCTTGCTATTCCATTTGACGAGCTATTCCCTGAGAGTCGGAAGCCAAATTTGGCTGGCCGATGTGCTTTGCTATATTAGCTTATGTGACACTGACAGCTAGTACTAAGTTTGTGTTGCTCCAAAATTCTATTCTTTTCTCCCCTTTTCGTAGAATATAGAGTGGGAGATATGACTAATCTGTTGGAGTATGTTGAATTATATAGAGACAATTTGAATGGAGTGGCTAGCCAAACGAAGATATGTATTGTGGAATTTAGAATGTCTCTTGGAGATGCTCTAAGGCTCTGTTTGGATCTCATGTACTCCAAAATTTAGATCATTTTAGGTCCAAACAGAAGACCTAAACTACTGTGTAATGTTTAATCTACCTCACAAAAAAATTTGGCCACTACAACACATTCTCCACCAAATTTTCCGCCTACCGTGTAGCTGCATTGCGGGACTGACGGTCAATGGACCAGCTCTATGGGAACGAAGCTGCCGGTGTGCGAGTGCGACTCGGCAACGGTTGGTGAGCATTTTGACCAAGCTGGGGCGTCAGGCGTCAGTGCCCAGTGCTCATTTGCCCACCAACCGAGGTGCTGTCTAATAAATTATGTAGTTGTATTGGTTAAGGCGGCGACTACCGGACACTATACCATACCCCAAAATTAACGTCGCATGGGGTCGTTAAAAGCACTAAAATAGCGTTGGAGGGTTGGACGTTAAAGATTAGTAACGTTCAGTCGGTCGTTATATCTCGTTTTCGCAATAGACAGTCGGTCGTTATTGTTATTTTGCTTTACTGTTGGACGGTCTGTCGTTATATCCTAGTTTTAGCGACCAACAGATTGTTGGCACATAAGATTGGGCTACAAAAAGTAAATTTGGATTTGTTTTTCGTGGATCCAGAGTTGCTGGAGGTGTGCCAAACAGTGAGGGAGTATTTTTTGCATGCAAACATAATTTCTAGTAAAAAAATGGGTTGTTCCAGTATATGTCACAGTGACAACAACCCCCCCCCCCCCCCCCCCGGGCCGCTAGACATTGCTGGTGAGGGCGTCATCCCTAAGATTTTTGAGCTGTTCGCGTCCTTTTCAATGAGCAGACCCTAAAAGAGATACGTGGCGTGGATGTGCATTCTAGAAATCCAAAAAAAAATGCTAATTAAATTTTCTTCTGATGAAAATAAATTGTAAAGGATCAAGCACTACTCAGGCAAATAAAACTTTTGTTAATGACTCATAGTACATATGAAATGATTTTCGGTACATTCACAAAATTCTATACCTTAAATTTCAGCCTACTTTTTGGTCCGTCTTCCTCCAATTACCAGACAATGAAGAAAATTCTTCCATCTGAACTCCTATGTATATAATAGCCCGTGCTCATACGAGTTAGAATATACCTTTGCGATTCTAAATAAGATGAATATAGGAATCCTAATCTAAATATTTGGTTGCGCCGGATTTGGCTGTATTGTTTTCCTTCGTATATGGTAATGAAACAGATATCGAAACCGACGTTGTTGTGTCCTATTCAAAACTAGCCAATCACATAAGCGTGCACCTATCCAATTACATGCATAAACAAATCACCTCATTGGCAGGTAATGAGTCTCCTATTCCCTTTTTAAATCATCTTATGCAACCCGTATTATATTTTTCTGCTCGGTCATTGGATTTTTGTTCTAGATTCTTAGTCTAAAAGGATAAGTAGGATCTTAGTCTGATAGGATACGTCACCTTCCAATAAAAAAAGAACTAGGACTCGGCCTGCTGTCTAATAAATTATGTAGTTGTATTGGTTAAGGCGGCGACTACTGGACACTATACCATAGCCCAAAATTAACGTCGCATGGGGTCGTTAGAAGCACTGAAATAGCGTTGGAAGGTCGGACGTTAAAGATTAGTAACGTTCAGTCAGTCGTTATATCTCGTTTTCACACTAGACAGTCGGTCGTTATTGTTATTTTGCTTTACTGTTGCATGGTCTGTCGTTATATCCCAGTTTTAGCGACAAACAGATTGTTGGCACATAAGATTGAGCTACAAAAAGTAAATTTGGATTTATTTTTCGTGGATCCAGAATTGGTGGAGGTGTGCCAAACAGTGAGGGAGATGTGCATTCTAGAAAACCAAAAAAAATGCTAATTAAATTTTCTTCTCATGAAAATAAATTGTAAAGGATCAAGCATTACTCAGGCAAATAAAACTTTTGTTAATGACTCATAGTACATATGAAATGATTTTCGGTACATTCACAAAATTCTGTACCTTGAATTTCAGCCTACTTTTTGGTCCGTCTTCCACCAACTTCCGGACAATGGAGAAATTCTTCCATCCGAATTCCTATGTATATAATAACCCGTGCCCATA